ATGGTGATGCAACCCTACAGGGGCTTGTTTGAATTCCTTTTATACTTTCAAACCAGCAACCCTACAGGGGCTTGTTTGAATTCATTTCATAGGTTCAAATCCAACAGAGGGTCAACCCTACACGAAATAATTTTTAAATTTTTTTGTTCTAGTGTCATTAGGACTGTCTAATAAACAATTTATATCACGTAACATGACAACACTCATTGAGGGTATACTCTTACTCAGTATATAAATATTCTAATATTTCACATTTATTAGCTGCTACAGCAACATGTAGTGGTGTACGGTCTTGATGATCAGTTGCATTAGAATTACAATAATTATTATCAATGAGATACTTCAATACATTCAAGTGACCCCTCTCTACTGATATGTGAACTGCTCCAGACCCTTTACCATCAATAGCTGATAGATTGCACTTCTTATTAATGAGATATTTAATAATTTCTAACTGATTGAAGTACACTGCAGTAAGGAATGGAGTACGACCATCTTTACTGTAAGGTAGCTCAAGTGATGTAGTACTGGATCAAGTTCAATCTTCCATTACTACATGCTAAGTGAATAGTAGCTATTCTCCCATCATTGAAAGCACACAGATCTAACTGATGATTCTCTATACCAGATGTTTGAGTATAGGAAGAGAGTCACTGTACTGACAGGTAACGTCAAGAAATTTTGATCCATTAAAAGTCTTAGCTGCTACATTACACTGAGTAAGACTAGTGAGATAAAGTATAACAGGAACATGGCCTTTTTGACATGCTAAACAAAGAACTGTACTACCAGTATCAATAGTAGTGGCATTAACATCACACTGATACTTGTTGAACAGTTCCTGTAGACAATTTAGCTTACCTCTATAAGCAGCTGAATGAGCTAGTTTGTACTTGTCATTGATAGTGTGATTAGTAATATCCACACTATATTCCTGACTGTACCATTCCAGTATATGAGATGGTCACTTCCTAATATGTAATGGTGTAAAACCATATTTATCAGTAGCTAAAGACTCAAGCTTATACTGTTGTATTAGTAATTGTACTAGATAAAGACTACTTGACAAACAAGCAAATCTGACTCATGTGTGATCACGTGTATTCTTAGCATTGACATCACATTTCATATCATTTATTAGAAATGTGACTAATTGAATATTACCACTATCACAGTCAAAATGCAACGTTACCATACTCTCATATATTGTTAGTAAAGTGTAGTAAAATAATGTATTGAGGATACTAACTGGTGGTGATATGCTTGATAAAATGAATGTGACCTTTTAATGATGAAAAATGAATAAAATTCGAACCTTTGTTATTTGTTATGCTCAGACTGCACTTGTAATCCTTCACGTATAATTCCAGCAGTAGAATATCACCAGAATGAGCAGCATAATGAATTGGTAGCTTACCATTACTGTCAGGTTGCCTGATTAGGATCTAACTGATAGGTAGTTATTAATTCTTTAACAAGAGATAAGTTAAGAGACCATGAGGCATAGTGTAAAGCAGTGAGGCGATTCTTAGTAACTGCAGTAGGAGATAAACTTTGTGATACTGAACTAAATTAAAGTTACCACTATGTGCAGCATGATGTACTAATGTGCATCCTTCATTATCTGTTTTATTAATATCACAATGCTGTACCTCAATGAGATATTGAGTGATATCAATATGACCATGACAACAAGAATGATGAAGACATGTCATACCATCATTATCAGTGACATCAGAATCATTGTTATGATTATTAATAAGATATTTAACAGAACTATTACTACCTGACGCACAGGAATGGACTAATGGTGTATGACCATAAGTATCAGTATCATTAACACTGAGATTATACTGAGATATGATATAACTTAATACGCTAGTAGAACCTGACAAGGCAGCATAATGTACTAGACTGAGACATACCACCATTAGTTAATGTACAAATGATATTATGTTCTTCTAATGTAGTGGCATTGATGTCAAAGTTAGAATAAGTTCAAGCTTCCTTGAGAAGTGGGGAAAACATTTTAACTCTTTCATTTAGTTTGATGGCATCAATATTTTGTTTTATTTTAGTATCATAGCCTGGGAATTAAATAAACTGATGGAAGCTGAAATATGGACACTGTCTGGTGGTGTATACTTGGAGAACTTGAAAAATCTTTAGATATATTTAATTTGTATAATAAAAATGCATTATAAAAATGTAAAAATTCCTTAACAATATATTATTAAAATATAAAATATATAAAAGCAGCAGTTAGAGAAGAATATTCACAACAGCAATTACACTAATATTAACTACTAACAATATTTATTATTAATAATAATTGAAGTCTACGAGTACAATACCATTGGGTGTATGATGGTTATAAGGTGTAATGGTACAATGGCGATAAGGTATAGTTAATGGTATATATTAACAGTAAGGTGTGATTACGAGGATACAGTAAGACGGTGGATATAGTTACATTGGTAATAAGATGGTACAGGATATTTAGTGTACTAAGACGACAGTAGACTAATGGTTTTAATGTTAATCTTATTAGTTGTGAAGATTATTGTGATATATACAAGTTAAGATATTACAGAAGTACATATAATGGTATGTAAGGTGGTGAGATGCTGATAAGGTGGTGGTAAGTGTAATAGCAAACTGGTGTTTAAGATTGTGGGTATAATGGTGATAATGGTACTAAAAATGATGATAAGGTGGTAAGGTGGTAAAGTATGACGGTTGAGGTGATAAGGTGTATTAGTATAATGAAGATAAGGTGGTTACAATTATGGCAGTAAAAGATGAAGTGGTAATGATAATACTTATAGGTGGTATAGATAGTAATCAAATTAACTCGTTATGTCGCAATTTAAGATGAATTGATGATAAAATTGACCTGCTACATCCATCAACAGCAGATATTTCAGATATGTCCTGTCTGGGAATATTTGTGACATGTCCTTCATAAGCTTGTCTCACTCTCTGCTACATTTTTTACATTTTTACTAGTCTGTTCAAGGTGCTTTAATATCACATTGTTGGACTGAGCAGCTTCAAAATCAATAGGAGTTGGAGCTAAATTCATAACATTGCTTAAAAATCGAACCATTTCTAAATTGGAGCTCTTGATAGCAAAACAAAGGAGGGTCTTCCAGTATTTTGTTTTAATGTGTGCATTACAACCACACTCTGTTAGAAAGTATAAAGCAGCTCAAAACTAGTAGCATCACATGCTGCACAAACTGAAGTGTATCCATTATTATCAGGATCATAGTGACAACTTTTAATGAGATACAGAGCCATCTCATTACGATTGAAGAGACTATTGATAATCAGCGCTACAATAGCGATCAGCTAGAGTTGCTACACGTAGTAAGATCAGCAGAGATCAAGTTAAGATACTTTTACAACAAAAAGAGAAAAAAACTGCTCTAAGATTACAGAGCTTAAATACAAAAACATAACAAAGAAATAAGGACACTATTGTACACAGGTAACTAACAAAGGGTCCATATGGAGTAACAAGCGAGTCCTCATGAGCTGGACAGAGCTGTCCAGCTCATTGTACATTACACAAAAGAGGGCATAAGGTGATAGGAACATGAGATCATACATTAATTAAAAGCATATGTTTACGTAAATACAAATTAACACAAAATACACAACCTACTAATTACATGTACACATATGTCATACATAATACAACAGAGACATGCATAATGAAGTGGAGTACGACCTAATTTGTCTTTTGGTACAGCAGTTGAATGAACATGGTGTCTCAAGTATTGATATATTTCAATGTTCCCTTTTTTACCTAGTAAGTGTAAGCAAGTGATGCCATCTTTGTCTTGCGATTCAGGAAGTAGTCCATACTTTTCAACTAGCTCTTACACCATATCCAACTTATTCCTCACACAGCTTACATGAAGCAAACTGCATTTATTTGCATCCAATAATTTGACACTTTCTGGATAAATATGACACAGGTAACGAACCACATCAATATGGCCATTACTGCAAGCTGTATGAAATACGGTGGATCCATCATTATCAGTAGCTATAAGTAGATCATGATGAGTAGAACTACGAGTGACTGCGAACAGTAAAGCTTTAGTGGTATCCTTATGCCCAGAGGCAATTGATAAGTGTAATGGTGTCTGTCCTTTCTTGTTAGGAATTAATATATTGATATTGGTAGAGCTAGATAGAAGTGATACCATCTTCTGTTGTCCTCTCATACAAGCAAAGTGTAATAGTGTGTGACCATCTTTATCTTGTGTGTTACAAAGCAAATTTGGTTTATTTTCTAATAAATATTCTAATATTTCAAACTGTTCATTTGCTATGGCAACATGTAGTAGTGTACGGTCTTCATGATTGATCAGCTGCAATAGTTGTTATCAATGAGATACTTCAATACATTCAAGTGACCCCTCTCTATTGATATGTGAACTGCTCCAAACCCTTCATCATCAACAGCTGATAGATTACACTTCTTACTGATAAGATATTTAATAACTTCTAACTGATTGAAGTACACTGCAAAAAGGAATGGAGTATGACCATGTCCTCTGACAGGTAGTTCAAGTGATGATGGTACGTGTTCTATAATGTACTGGATTAAGTTCAATCTTCCATTACTACATGCTAAGTGAATAGGAGCCATTCCCTCATCATTCACAGCACACAGATCTAACTGATGATTTTCTACCAGATGTTTGAGTATAGGAAGAGAGTCACTGTACTCACAAATAATGTGAAGAACTGTTGATCCATTAGAAGTCTTAGCTGCTACATTACACTGAGGAAGACTAGTGAGATAAAGTACAACAGAAACGCGGCCTGCTTCACATGCCAAATGAAGGGCTGTACTACCAGTAACAGTAGTAGTGGCATTAACATCACACTGATGCTTGTTGATCAGTTCCTGTAGACAATGTAGCTTACCTTTATAAGCAGCTGAATGAGCTAGTGTGTACCTGTAATTGCTAGTGTGATTAGTAATATCCAGACTATACTCCTGACTGTACCATTCCAGTATATGAGTATGACCAGTCATTGCTGCTGCATGTAATGCTGTGAAGCCAAATTTATCAGTAGCTAAAGGCTCAAGCTTATACTGTTGTATTAGTAATTGTACTAGATCAAGATTACCCAAGAAACAGGCAAATGTGACACACGTTTGATCACGTGTATCCTTAGCATTGACATCACATTTCATATTATTTATTAGAAATTTGACCAATTGAATATTACCACTCTCACAGGCACAATGTAATGGTATTTGACCTTCATTGTCAGTAGAGTGTAGTAAACTAATGTATTGAGGATACTGACTGGTGATATGCTTGATAAAGTGAGTGTGACCTTCTAATGATGAATAATGAATAACATTCCAACCTTTGTTTTCTGTTAGGCTCAGACTACACTTGTAATCCTTCACATATAATTCCAGCAGTAAAATATTACCAGATTCAGCAACACAATGAATTGGTAGGGTGCTATTTCTGTCAGCTTGATGAGGATCTAACTGATAGGTAGTTATTAATTCTTTAACAAGAGATAAGTTAAGAGACAGTGAGGCATAATGTAAAGCAGTTAGGCCATTCTTAGTAACTGCAGTAGGAGATAAACCTTGTTCAATAATAAGATAGTGAACTAAATGAAAGTTACCACTCCATGCAGCATGATGTACTAATATTCGTCCATAATCATCTGTTTTATTTATATCACAATGCTGTTCCTCAATGAGATATTGAGCCATATTAATATGACCATTACAGCAAGAACAATGAAGACACATCATACCATCATTATCAGTGATATTAGGATCACTGTTATGATTATTAATAAGACATTTAACAGAATTAATACTACCTGACACAGAGGAGTAGACTAATGGCGTACAACCATAAGTATTTGCATCATTAGCATTGAGATTATATTTAGATATAATATAACTTAATACACTAGTAGAACCTGACAAGGCAGCATAATGTACTGGAGACCTACCATCATTATCTAATGTACAATTGATATTATATTCTTCTAATGCTTTCACTAGTATTGTACTGCCACTCCATGATGCTAAATGAAGTAATGACTGACCATCATTTGTAGTGGCATTGATGTCAAAGTTAGGGCAAGTGCTAGTTTTCTTGAGAACTGAAGAAAACATTTTAATTCTTTCATTTCGTTTGATAAAATCTATATTTTGTACTACTTGTGTTCTATTAATAATCTCAATAACTGATGCATCACTTTGTGCCATAAGCTTACTATACACAATACCAGCTGGAATATGCATGCCTGCCTTACATGCATAATGTAAACATGACCTACCATCATTATCACTAACTAATAATGCTTCATTACCTTGAATACTAACAATATACTCAACAACTGATGATGAACCATACCATGAAGCAATATGAAGTGGAGTCCTAGCATACTGATCCTTTACATCAATGGATAATTTATATCGATTCAAAAGATATGGGAAAAGCACAACACTTTTATTATTCATAGAAGAGCAAGTATAATGTAGTACACCAGCCCCTGACATTGTTAGGTCATCTGGTGAGAAGAGGTTTAATGATTCAAGCTTGTGGACTAATGCTAACTCTCCACTTTTACAAGCTAACAATGATAAAGAAGCACCTTCACAATTAATCTGAGAAGTATTACAATTTCTCTCAATAAAGAATTCCACTAGGTCACAATGGCCCCCCAATGCTGAGTACAGTAATGCAGTGTTATTGCTATTGTCTGGTTGATCAGGAGGAACGCCACACGTGTCTACTAGATATTTTATTATAGATAAGTGGCCTTTATAAGATGCCATAAGTATACTAGATACACTATTATCATCACCTTCATTAGGATCAATACCGTATTGATGGATGAGTAGTTGAAGGATCTCAATGTGTCCACCATATGATGCAGAGTGTAATGGAGTCCAACCATGAAGACCACGATGATATTTGCTGTAATCAAACTTGTTAAGAAGCCATTGTACTTCATCTTTCAATCCTCTCCAAGCTGCTTCATGTAATGGTGTACTGGTATTCTCATACAATAATGGATCACATATATCTATAAATAAAGAATGTTATAGTTATGTATGAAGGGACTGACTAAAGGTCAGTTCTTGTACTTACCAATATCAGTGGATGAGTACTTAACCTCTTCTATTGAGAACTGATGAATTAATAATAATATAATATTAAATTTGTATCTACAATAACAAACCTCTCTTAGATCATATTTATCTTCACCACATGTTAGTTCAGTGATACCAATACTAGCTAACTGTTGCTGTAGCTTTGTAGTTAGAGGAAATAATAAAGAGTAAAGATACTCAGGAATGAGATGTTTAAATTGAAGAGAGCCAGGAGTAACAACAGAGAAATAAAACTTCATTTCAGAAACACCTAATTCTTTTGGAATTGCTCTTCGGAAGAAAAATAAGTGATCCAGTGTGTAATCAGAACGATCAACTCTAGCAATCATTACTCATGTACCAGGAGGAACGTCTGTTATACCAAACTTCACAGCATCAGCATCTTTCAATAGACCTCCACTGTTTATAAAATAATCTTTTAATTTGTCTTCATATTCTGACCAAGTTCTCTTTAGTGTATGATTTTCACTTAGAAACACATGGACTAGTTTTATTATTAGTTCATAGTTAAACCATGATATGTACTTGTCTTGTAAGGTCGAAAAGAGATCTGTCATTGTTTTAATGTCACTAAACTGTTCTTTAACTGCTTGCACTGCAGCTTGATTATCATTCTTAATAGGACCCAAAAGAGCATGAACACATCTTTTAAGATACTCTATCACTTTAGGAAGAAGTGCTGGCTCACTCAAAAAGGATTCTATTGTCAGTTGTAGTACATCAGCAAAATCATACTGTAGCTCATATATTTTATTAGTTAGTGGGAAATTTATTTCAGGATGAGGTGCATAAACTGTATAAAAGAACAAGAATCATTATTGCCAGGATTTTATAATTAGCTATAATAATAATAGTGCCATTATAATTAAATTGTCACAGTATTGGGTTTTATCTTTTGAGAACTACATGTACCTCTTGAATTATTTGATTTTTCACTTCCAGGTGACATAATTCGAACATCAGTAGGAGGGACACCTCTTTTAGCAAAATGTAAGGTTTCATTATGATTTGAATTGCCTCCTAAGAAATACACTATTTCACTATGATTCCAAATTTGGTCAAGTTACCTCCTAAAGGTGGTATTTCATCATTATGAACAACATCAGTAGGACTTGTAGTAGCTGGTAGAGGATGAGGAGTAGCTCCTCCAGTAGTAGCTGGTAGAGGATGTTCACGAGCTATTTCATCAGCTAATGCTGGATCACCTCCTCCTTCTTTAACAGCTACACACACTCTCCTCCAACAAGGAATACCATAACGCTCATAATCATAATCCTTCTTTAACCAATACTCTACAACTTTCTGCAGACAAGCAATAGTATCTCCACGACAATCAGCTTCTATCCTGTTGATTGTATCTATTTCAAGATGCCAGGAAATGGCTATCTGCTTCCAGCCAGCTGAAAGTGGTTTGATTATATCATAAACACCATAGAAGTCTTTTTTACCTGTAAAGTAATCATCAAATGTTAAATAAACACACACACAAACTCACTTAGTCCTTTATTGCAAACGTTTATAAAAGGAGAAGAGGAAGAAGGGCTTGTAGCCATAGCGGGTCGAGAGGAAATTATACACCCACGCAATATACCAGCCCCACCCATATTACATATGTAATAAAATGGCGGCCATGATGCAGGTAAAAATACATTGTTTTCTTTCTTAAAGTATATTATTTTGTCTTTTAGAAAAAACCACCAAGTCTTCTCTCTATTAATAAATTATTCAGGACCTTCAAACTAACTACTGTACAGCAACTGAACCAGTAAAAGTTATAATTTTTATTGATTTGTTGATTATTTTTATTATTATTAGAAATCTGATATTAGTTATAATCAGTTGGGTACAATATACAGTGTTGGATACTTTGATCTTAAAAATATTTATTACACAATCACTTATCAACAACACTAAAGAAAAAGTATGTATTAAAAATAATATTCATTATTGTCTGGCCAATGACTGGATAGTATTGCATGTATGTACACAGTGGTAATATTTATTACCGGAGCCCATGCATAGGCGTGGAAGCAAGGGTAAAGCAGTCATCTTGTCTGTGTGTGTGTCCAAGCGAAATCTATTGTCAAGCCTCTGTTGCTTTCTATTTGAGTTCTTAAGGCCTCCATACACTAGGCAACATGTTGCCTAGTACATGTATATGCCTTTAAGAGTCTTATAATCAACACTGGAACTCGGAAGAGTACATTCCTACATGTATCAGCCTACTGCTTCGTTTATCTTTTCCAAGTGAGCAAAAGCTAGCAAAGTTTCTGAACTTGGTCGGCACTCGCATAACTCTCTCATCGTGAAAGGAATCATAGCAAAAGACAAATGAAACAATAGAACAAAGCCTCAGCTTGATTATAATGTAAGAAATTGCTCCAATCATCTTTGTTTTTAAGATATGATAGCCCAAACATTCATACCTTTGGGGTTTACACAAGGCTCTCTTATCCAGAAGTAGCGGCCAGAATCTTTGAACATCAGGGACTCAATAGACGTTTGTATGCAACAAACAGAGCCTAACAAATGTATGCTAAACTGTTTAAAAATTGAGAAAACTACAGCTTTCTTCACCACTTTGGGCCATGTGCCACCGTTATTGTGTGTGCGGGTGGAGCATGGCTTGATTATCAATTAACCACACCTTCATTGCAGCCACACCTTTACATTGCTGCAGCAGTGCAGCAAACAGGCTGAGGCTTCTTCTCTGTACATTAGCAATTAACCTATCCATTACTTTTAATACACTCTATTCTAAAGACACAAGTAATATTATTATTGTTTGAGTAGAGTATTTAACTCTGTACATGTACATGTACATCAACCCTATTTATATGTATGAAAAACTTTCCACTTTTGAATAACCTAGTCTTAATTTTATACTTATACGCTTGTTGGGCGAAGCCCACTAGTTTGAGTTGAGTATGTAAGTATGTTTGTATGTACACGTACGTCACCCTATTTATTTGTATGAAAAAATTTCCACTTTTTAATAACCTAATCTTAATCTTCATTGGAAACGGGTGTGGTCTGGTAAACAAAATGGCGTCGGCTATCAATTCTTGACCTTACAAGTCACTGGAGTCAGCAAGATACATGTAAGTCTGTACTGCTCTGCAATTAAGAAGGCAGATATGCCACAGTTACAAAAAGTTCTCATTACATCCTCAACCTGTGAAGCCTGCACAACTACCGACATAACCTATGACTGCAGTTTGTGTCTGCATGGTCTGCCTTCCAACACATAACTTTTATTGCTACAGAATGCGATGAGCTGATAAAGAAAATTTATATTTCCAACCACAATAACTTCATCAAGAACGCCTGTATTTACACATGTACATGTATAATAATGTAGTTGTATACCATATAATCTTCAGGATATAGTGTGGCTAGAGGGCTAAGCCCCTTAATGTTTTACATTCGTCTAGTTTAAATTGCTGTTTTTTTCTTGTAGTAATGAAGCTGATGTTATTACTAATCTTGATGATATATACAATATTGGTACGTTTGTACAGATCACTGAGTTTCAAGAGTTCAATAATAGAATGAGATTAATAATACAAGGACACAGACTGTGAGTGAAGCTAAGTACATGTAAATATTATATTGTGTTATAATACAGTGTAAGGCATGGGGTACGACATTTCCTGGTTCATACATACATGTATATAGGTACTTATGTTTTGTAGAAAATTTGAGCTCATTTTGATTAAAATTGGATTTTGAAGAATTTTTTAAAGTTGATCAAAAATCAGATTAAAGACACTGTACTTTAGTACAAGGTCATTGGCCAAAAATTTTATCAAAAATTAAAGGTAAAGAATTCACCATTTTTATAATTTTTTCTGGTACATGTACATAAATTTGCTCATTTAAAAATTGGTTGTAACTTTAAATTTTGAGCTAAGAATTGGCTCAAACTTTTTACACAGCATAAGGACATAATTATGTTTCAGAAAAAGTAATAAAATGTTGGGCTGATTTTGGAGCCATTTTTGGAATGACGCATGGGCTATAGTGCAGGGAATTTTTGCTCCTTTTTTAATGGTCGTAACTCAAAAATTTGAACTTATAAATGGCTCAAACTTTCTACATGTATTGTACATACATGTATGTGCATTATTATGTATCAGAAAATTTGAAAAAATTTAAGGTGTTTTTGGAGCCATTTTTAAAAACTGTGGGCCAAAAACATGGGTACAGAGAAATTTTCAGAAGTTAGCTCAAGAAATGGTCGTAATTTTAAAATTTGAGCTCATAATTGGCTTAAACTTTTTACATAGCATAAGTACATGTACATCAATATCTATCAGAAAATGTGATAAAAGTTTTGGTGATTTGGATCAATTTTTGGAAAGCAGCTTGGGCTATAGTACTGGTAAATTTTTAGAAATTTGCTCATTTTGAAATAGCTGTAACTTAAAAAGTATGAGCTCAGAATCGGCTCAAAGTTTTTACACAGCATAAGTACATCAATACATGTATGCATTAAAAATTTTTGTAAAAATTTGAGGTGATTTTGGAGCCATTAATTGAAAGCATGGGCTATAACAGGGAAACTTTCAGAAGTTCACTTTTTAAAATGTTTTTTTACTTTTAAATTAAAATTTTAGCTTGGAATCACCTTAAAATTTCTACACAGCATAAGGATATCAATATGTATCAGAATATATAATAAAAATTTGTGGTGATTTCAGAGCCATTCAAAAACAATGGGCTATATATTACATTTTTATTCATAATCTTCTTGTCCCACAGAGTCATTGGCTCAGATCATTGAGGCTGGTAAAAGAGTTATAGATGATCCTACACATCTTGCTGATTTTGGAGCTGCACTGACCAGTGGAGAATCACATCAAATTCAAGCAGTTCTTGAATGTCCAGACGTAATCACTATTATTATTATTAATAATTGTAATTATTATTATTACATGTATTTTTATGTACATGTATCTATTTATTTAATTTTATTAGATTCCTGAGCGATTGATATTAGCACTTGAACTACCCAAGAAAGAACTAGCCATAGTAACTCTACAAAAGAAACTTGGAAAAGAAGTAAGTACATGTATACAGTGTATGTACATGTAACTGCATGAATGAGCTCAATTCACTTCTATTTGCTTCACCACATTTTATAGCATTATAGTCTTTTATTTTAATATTGTCATTTTAGGTTGAAGAGAAGTTTGCAAAAATGCAGAGAAAGTATAATTTTATTACAAGGGGAACTGAAAATAATAAAGAGAGAACTAGGAATATAAGTAATGGAGTATGAGAGAGAGAGAGAGGGAGGAACTGGAAGGATATGAATAAGTTGATAAAGTTGTTTTTATTGTAGAAAA